CTTCTCCCCTCACTCTCTCTCCCTGCCTTCCTCCCGAGGAGGCCCTCCAAGCCCCCTCACCAACCCTCAAGAAAGGAGGGAAAGAAGGAAGAGGCAGCCAGCAGCAGGAGGAGGAGGAGGAGGAGGAGGGGAAGGACCCCAGGCACACCTTCCCTGCTCCCCTACTTTGATAAACTCTTTCCTCCTCCACCACCATCCCAACTACAGCAACTCATTTGTAAACATAACTAGCACTAATAAGGCCTTGACCAAACAGGGGTGGGAACTCTCTGAGCCCAGAAATCTATGTCACAATAAACATTTGGCACACTCTGGAGCACTTCACAATGTCGTTTCCATCCAATACCCAGAAAGGGTTTGGGCGCCAAGAATTGGAGCTACAAAGGTTTCTGTCAGGTTTATGTGCTATGAAGAGGATGAAGGAGATGAGGGGGAGGGGGCACTGAAGGCTGCTTTCTGAGCAAATAAAATAAATAAATAAATAAATACAAATAAGCCCTTTCAAGCACATTCTGAATTTAAACTGAAACATTTTTTTTAAAATGTATGGTTTAATCACCTTGCAGGTTTTGTCAATGGATTCTGCATGAATGAAAGTCTATACAGGTAAAAAACAATAATGGGAACTCCCACATATTGGCTCAAAGTGACACAGAGAGAGAGAGAGAGAGAAACACTGACTCTCCCTGGTTTTCAAGATGGCTACCATGACAACATCCAGGCTGGCCTATTAAACTGAAAATTGAAGCTGAGAAGATCTTAGAGGCCTCCCCTTCCAGCTTTCATGGAAGTTATTTCAAATATAAATACTAATATATATTAAAAAGCAAACATAAGCCTCAGTATCACCACAATTGAGGAGTGGATGAAATCTGTGTTCCAGCCAGCATTGGGAACAAATGCTCAGGCGTACATTTCAGAGGCTGATCTGCCAGTTTTCACTGTGCTGGGCAGTGGATGACCAGTATTAAAAACTAAATCCCCCCCCCTGCTATCTTTGCTTTTTTTTTTCCCCTTCTGCCTGCTTTAGATGAATTTCAGTTCAGAAGAAGAAAACTACACACTACAGCTTGTTCTACATTAAACAAGTACTTTCTTTACTCTTCTGTAATTCTTTTTCAAAGTTCCCTAACATTATTAATTTTTTACATCTATCTGAATACCTGACTGGCTAGAAGAAATGCCAGCTTTTGCTTTCAGAAATCTGTCATCTCAAGCTGATTCTTTGCCCAAAGCTATGCCCTCTCTAATGGAAAGGAGCCTTTGTCAGGATTTTAATTTTCTTCTAAAATGCCTGAGTTCTGCCTGATACAAAGTGCAACAAATAAAACAGTGAAATCCAAATGTATGATTAAAAGTACAACCTAATACAGCAACATTATAAAGCAGGAAAGGAACGAACTTTATTGGTAATTCATGGGCCCAAATCCAGTTACTAATCCCAGCTACAGTAGGTCCAAAGAAGTGATGGGATTTACATGCGTGTTGAATTACTATTCAATATCTGATTCAACAGGTTGCTAGACCAAAAATTCCACAGTGAGTAGGGAAAGCATGAAAAAAGTGTTTCCAAATATCAGCAAAGGTACCTAAGGAAGATAATAAATAGCAATCTCCCTTGACGGAGTTCCAAACAGAAAGTGTCACCACTATTAAGGGCAAAGTTCCTATGATCTTAACCTTAATGCATTCCTCACCAGGTAACATTTTTATTATTATTTTGTAGAAATCTCCCCTTTTACATAGAAAAGGGAAATAAAGAAAATGCATGCCATCAAAGACAGCCAGAGTGGTGTAGTGGTTTGAGTGTTGACTATGACTCTAGAGATCAGGGTTCAATTGTCTGCTCAGCCAGGGAAACTCACTGGGTGTCCTTGGGTGAGGCACACAGTCTCAGCCCCAGAAAACCCCATGATAAGTTCACCTTAGAGTCACCATAAGGTAGAAATGACTTGAAGGCACACCATCACAATGCAATCCAAATGTTTCCAGTTTCAAATATTCCTGTTCTGACAAACTGACCAAGGGAATGAAATTTCTAGCTGTTTGTGTGTATGTTCCTTCAAGTTGTCAGTCAACCTGTGGCAATCCCATTAATTTCATAGTGTTTTCCTGGGCAACAGAAGCTCCAAGGTGGTTTCTTATTGTCTTCCTCTGAATATAGCCTACAGCAGTGCTTGTCAGGCTACCTGATGTGGGGGGCCAGTCATTGTTTTTTCTCAGTGTGCCAGGGACCAGCACTAAATTTGTGCCCAATGGGTACAATTCTTTCTTTCTCTCTTGGAAACTTGCCAGAAACCAGCAGCCAATGGCTCAGGGACCAGCATTGGTCTAAAGACCACCAGTTTACATAGCACTGTCCTATAGCAGCTGGTTTTTCTTGATAATTTCCCATCCACATACTAACCAGACTTGTCTTTGGTTATCTTCCAAGAGCAGGTAGGATCTGGTGTCTTCAGGGTAGGCTACTAAAATTCTAGCTAAGCCAGTAAAATTATAGCTGGTAATAAGCAATCATAGAAAAACAGACAATAACAATGGATTTAAGAGGGCAACATGAGCTCTACAAGAGCTCAGATGCAAGCCAGATTGAATTAAAAATTTAAACAGTTAGTGTGGAATATATCAGTATCACGTACTACTATCTATCTTATCATGCTTCTAGGTTTGTTTGTTGTTTTTTCTGTAAATACTTTTTTAAAGAATTGGATTAAAAATTGTTTGAGTATTTGCACTTCATGGCTTTCTTTTGCCATTACAAGGATTTCTAGATGAGAAAGATGGCATCCTGGATCATTATATTGATTTTCAATTTATAGACATATATATGAGATTCAACAGGTTGCTGAGAAATTAAAATTCTAGGCTGGGAACTATATCTCAAAATATAGATCTAGCAAAGTGCAAGTAAAGAAAACAGATGTAATAGTGGTGAGTACATTTATTTGTTTGTTTTTGTTTGTTTGTTTGTTTATTATAACACAAAGACATTCAAAAACCTTTCTTTAACAGCTTAAGAGAAATTATTATTTGATATGGCTTCTCCTCCCACCTAGTCATTCCCTCCTCCCAACCAGAGAACAGATGCTTGTCTTACATAACCAACCACACATACTAAATGCTTAAAATCACAGAATTTGTGTTCAGTAAATATTCCATTTGCTAAAATAATGCTTACATAAAATGGTACAAGAATCAAAACAAAAACAAAGTGCCTCTTTTAATGAAAGTTGAAGTAAAAAAACGTAATGGCCAGAGCAAAAAGGCTTGAAACTGATGAATTTAGCTGATCTAGCTGATGAATATTCTGAGAGATCAATGGACTGGAATGATTATCCCATCTAAGGAGAGGAATGGTCTCACATTCCTAAAACACAAGCCCACTGTGAAAAGTAAGTTGATAACATTCCTGCTAGTGAGGCCTTGAAGGGTTCATCTGCTTGGAAGGAGTGTTAGTCACTCTAATTGTAACCTCCCTCAAAACTTCACTGAATAATATCAGTCATCTGTTTACAATATTTTTCTGTAGCTTTTTTGGTCCATGAGTCCCATGAATCTCAGGCATTTCACAGTGGCCCCTCCTCAGGCTATATCAGGGTTCCCACTTCTCAAGGTCTGGACTCTGGGGTTCCAGTCCTGGAAGCAAAGGAGAGGAAATCTCAGGGTTAGAGCACTGCTTTGAAAACTGCACAAATGCAAGTCATACCCTCCAATGGTCCCAAAATGGCAGACACAACTTCAGTTAATGTTTCCCCACTTTCTTTTCAAGTATTTTCAAGTTCTGCTCCCCACAAGTTGTTCTGCTTCAACCACTCAGCTTCTCGTCCCCAAACTGCGGGGATGCTGCTTTTTAATGTGCTGGACAGAGGATCTTATCTTAGTCCAGTGCTGGACAGCAGTGCAACACTGCCATTGACTTCTATTTCAGTGAAGTGGTGGAGCCATTCTTAGTTGTAACTACATAACTGCATTCTGGATTAGAGCACTATGTTTTCTAGGACTCCATAAAGAGTATATTTTAGGCCTGTACAGACTGCCAGAAATAGTGCACATTAAATTGAGGCACTGCCCTGGCTCAGTGCTAGGAAATCATGGGATCTGTAATTTATTGTGGCACCAGAGCTCTCTGACAGAGAAGGCTCAATGTCTCAGAAAAAAATACAATTCCCACTATTCCCTAGCACTGAGCCAGGGCAGTGCCTCAATTTAATGTGCACTATTTCTGGCAGTCTGCAAAGGCCCTTTGTGTGTTTAAAATGAGACTGGTGTTTTCAAATAGGTAGAGTCTTCCATCACACCTGAGGTAGCACACTAGTTTAGAAGAAGCAGGAACATTGTGTGGCATATGCAGTTCTTTTCTCTAATAGAGGAAAGAGCTGCAGAGTTTGTGACAACTTCTGGGATAGCCATTGCTGCTGAATTTGGCCTCCATTGCTGCCACCCAGTTCCCACTGCTTGAAATGTTCACCTCATCCTAATGAAAAAACTGGCCCTGTTCCTGAAGACCCTCAAGGTATTGCCAATTGTCATAGTATAGTCTGTATCTTTTGGCAAGCCAAGTGACTGAAGACAAATTATGCACAACAGATGGAGAATTTTGCCTGCTGGTAGGTCTCACACTCAGAAATATGACAATTTTATTAAAATGCTTCAAAGTAATGAAAGTGATGCCAACACCATTTGAATAACACCTACGCTTAGATTGTTCCTGTAGAACAAAAGTAAGCTGAGTCATCTGGTTACTTAGGCCTAAATCCAATTGCTAGGACCAATTTGAATAGATTCAGTGTTGAATGGTGAATCAACACTTCTGTAAATCCCATAACTTCAATGCAACTTCAATGCAAGGGACAAGCAACTGTTAAGATGGATGTCTGCACAAGGGGACCCCACTGGGAACTTATGGAGGTCATGCCTACATAACTGCATTCTGGATTACAGCATTATGTTTTCTAGAACTCCATAAAGAGTATATTTGGTGTGTTTTAAAATGTTTTAATCTTTGTATTGCTTTAATCATTTTTATTTTTTTTTCCATCATCTTGGGAGTCTTCGTGAGCTGGGAGGCAATGAAGAAATACTTAAAATAAATAAATAAAAATTAAAGGTGAAAAAGGCATAATCACCATGAATCACTGGACACACAAGCAAGACAACAGAATCATTTGGCATCCAGTAACAGGACTGGATATAAACCCTAAATATGTGGAAAACACCAGATTCTGTCTGATCCTGGAAGTTAAACATGGTCAGACCTGATAAGACTTGATAAGCCCAACCTGCTTATCCCTGATTTGGCTGTTTTGTTATTTGTTTGTGTTATTATTTTATGTGTGTTTTAAATTGTCACTGTTAATAGTATTTTAAGGGGGGATTGTGGGATATGAATATATATTTTAATGTTGTAAGCCACCCTAGTTGCGTTATGCAGGGGCGGAATAAAAATTATTTATTTATTTGTACTTGGATATGTCTCTGCCAAGGAGCTGCTTCAGAGGAAAGCAATAGAAAACCACTTCTGAGTATTCTTCACCTATGGAAACCCTATGAAATTCATGGGGTTGTCTATATGACTTGAAGACACACATGCACTCAATGGGACAGGACCAGGATCTTTCCCTGTTTGAGACCAAAGACAAAATGGTGCTTCCCCCCCCCAAAAAAAAAACTAGTAGATCACGTATAAGTGATGCTGTGAATCTACTTTGGATAGATTCAAAACTTTCCAAGCTTCCAAACCTATTCTGAATACTGTACAGGGTTTAGCACCTTGGACAGCTCCATCCACATTTAGATTGCAACTAAGAATGGCTCCACCACTTCACTAAAATAGAAGACAATGGCAGTGTTACACTGCTGTCCAGCACTGGACTAGGATAAGATCCTCCATCCAGCACACTAAAAGGCAGCATCCCTGCCGTTTGGGGATGAGAAGCTGAGTGGCTGAAGCAGAACAACTTGTGGGGCAGGATGAACGTGTGGGAAAGGGGTACATTTCCTCTCCTTGCATAATAGTCCTGCAGTGTCTATTGCAAGGCCTTTGCTAGATTTACTGTTAAGCAGAATGAGGCAGCAACATCAGGCTTCAGCAGACTAAGGGGGGTTGAAGACTGCCAGAAATAGTGCAAATTGAGTCCACTTTTAGGGTTAGGGTTAGTGCTAGGGAATCATGGGAATTGTCTTTTTGTTGTTTTTTCTTCCTGAGACATTGAGCCTTCTCTGTCAGAGAGCTCTGGTGCCACAATAAAATACAGTTCCCATGATTCCCTAACCCTAACCCTAAAAGTGGACTCAATTTGCACTTTTTCTGGCAGTCTGCAACCCCCCTAACATAACTTAAGGTAGCTTTAAAAAGCAGCAAATTGTTATTTATTTAATCTGTTGTTGTTTCTTGTTCTTGTTCTTGTTTTGCTGCCAGGAAAGGGGAGAGACTCTTGTGGCATTTTCTGCCTAAGGTGCCAAAATAATTAGCCAGTCTCAGCAATTATGTACCTTGACTGGGGTGGAAGGGGGGAGGACTAATTTGCTAACCTGCTTCAGGCAGTAAAATATGTCTGGCCAGCCCTGAGCCTATGAAATTTTCCCTCCTCTTCACCTTTCCTGAAGCCTTGTGAAAGGCCACAAAAAAACCCCTTAAACTGCAATATTTATCCTGGTCACTTCCTAAAAGCACAGGAGCAAGGACAAATAAAAGCTGGCAAAAGCCAGCTAAGAGGTCAATATGCAGCTACTCTAAGAAAGTGGAAAGAGCCAAGAAACTCCATGCAATCATTACAGCTTCTGTTCTGTGTCTACAAAAAAATCACTGGATTCAGACGTAAATGTACAGAACAGAATATACAACTAGAAAGTTA